CATTCTTGTCATCAATTCTTATATCTTTTAAACTATTAAATATTAGTCATCCCTGCTTCCCGGATTTTTAAGGTGACCTTTTCCTCCTGCTATCTGTTATTAAAGGCAAACCATTCCCTCTGGTCTTTTTTTTGGGGGGGGGGGGGGACCTTATGTGTTTAAAGGATTTATAAATCTTTACACTTTTTATTTATTTTTTATCCTCACTCGAGGACATTTTTCCATTTTTTGTTCAGATAGAGTGGGAGGGAAATACAGAGAGAGAGAGAGAGAGAGAGAGAGAGAGGGAAACATCGACTTGAAAGGGACACATCGAGTGGCTGCCACTCGCAACACCAACCAGGTCCGGGGACAAACTACAACCGAGGTATGTGCCCTTAGTGGGAACCAAACCCGGGTCTCTCTGGACTGTAGGCCGACGCTCTAACCGCTGAGCCAAACCAGTCAGGGCTAAATCTTCACACTTTTTGCCATTACATGTTATTTTAAAAAAATTTATTTTTCAATTACATTTTATGTTAAATATTATCTTATGTATAAGTTTCAGGTATACAGCATAGTGGTTAGACCATATCATTTTCTTCTTCATTTTTTCTTTACTCTTCTCCAAAAGTTATTATTTATTTGAACTATTTGGGTAAAATAATTAGCCTCATCTTCTTCTTTTGTGACATACCTTGGTTTTTGTTCGAATTTCTTTTCCATTTACCCACTTTTGAGGGAAGATATTATTTGTTTTTTGTTAGGTATATTGAGCTTTTCTGAAGTGTAGACTTCTCTACACATTATTTTCTCCTTCCCAAAGTAGCTTTCTAAATAGTAGAAGCCTAATAAAATAGAGAAAAATAGAGCTCATCAGATGAGCTCTTCCTAAATCTCTCCTCTACCAGAAATGTCTCCATGGCCACAAACTAATCTATCCCTGCTCTGGAGTGCATCTACTCTGCCTTCTTGGGGGCTTTGCTTTGCTCATTTCCCCTTCTCCTCTAACTTTAAATTTTTTTTCTCCATTGGCTCTTACCCTTTAGCTTATAAATACACTCACATGGTTTTCCATCTTAAAATTTTCTAACAGTGTGTCTCCCTCTAACTACTACCACATCTCTCTCTCAGTCAAATGTTTGGGAAGAGAACCCCCCAGTTGGCTGCTCTCACTCTCTCACCTTCTGTTTACTTCTTTGCTCACTGCCTGTCATTCTGCTAGCACACATCCCCAGGTACCCAGTTTTCAGATCCAATGCCATTTGCAGCTTTCCTGCCCTCCTGACAACATTTGACATTGTTTAGGGAATTATGTGTGGAGTGCTTACTGGGCAAAAACTAGGGTATGTGCTGCCGTAACAGAAATGAAGGGCAGATGTGATCCCCACCCTCATGGGGATCAACTGATTAGCCACTCCTGATAATACTCAGGTTCCTCAATTTCCACTTGCAGGCTTCACTTAAATGCCACTTAAATCTCCCTATTGTTCAAGTCTCTTCCTTTTTTTTTTTTCTTTTTTCTTTCTTATTATGCATACTTCTCAAAGAAATCACTTCAACACCATAGCTTCAATTACTCTCTATATACTCTAGTGACAATACAATTTAAAATGTTTTCAATTAACAGTTTTATTTTACACAGGATGCCTCATTTATTAAAACCATAGATTCCTGCCCTGGCCCGTTTGGCTCAGCGGTTGGAGTGGTGGCCTGTGGTCCAGAGAGACCCGGGTTCGGTTCCCGCTAAGGGCACGTACCTCGGTTGCAGTTTGTCCCTGGCCCTGGTTGGGTCGTGTGGGTGGCAACCACTCGATGTGTCCCTTTCATGTCGATGTTTCTCTCTCTCTCGCCTTCTCTCCCACTCTATCTGAACAAAATATCAAAAAAAAAAAAAAAAAATGTCCTTGGGTGAGGATAAAGAAAACAAACATAGATTCCAAGTTGCTCCATGAAAGTAATCACAAAAAGTGTGATATTCTTAGCATGTCAACAACAGGAAGACAAACGATCCAATTAAAAAATGGGCAAAGGACCTAAATAGACACTTCTCCAAAGAGGACATACAGATGACCAATAGAAATATGAAAAAATGTTCAACATCAACATCACTTATCATCAGAGAGATGCAAATTAAAACCACAATGAGGTATCATCTCACACCTACCAGAATGGCTACCATCAATAAATCAACAAACAGTAAGTGCACGAGGATGTGGAGAAAAGGGAACCCTAGTGCACTGTTGGTGGGAATGCAGACTGGTGCAGCCACTGTGGAAAACAGTATGGAGTTTCCTTAAAAACCGAACTGCCTTTTGACCTAGTGATCCCACTTCTGGGAATATATCCTGAAACACCAGTTTGAAAGAATATATTCACCCCTATATCCATAGCAGTGCTATTTATAATAGTCAAGATTTGGAAACAGCCCAAGTGCCCATCAGTAGATGAGTGGATAAAAAAGCTATGGTACATTTACACAATGGAATACTATGCGGCCGTAAAAAAGAAGGGACTCTTACCTTTTCAGATAGCATGGATGGATCTGAAGATTATTATGCTAAGTAAAATAAACCAGTCAGAGCCTGGCGGGTATGGCTCAGTGGTTGAGTGTCGACCCATACACCAAGAGGTCATTGGTTCAATTCCTGATCAGGGCCCAGGCCCAGGTTGTGGGTAGGATGCGGCCAGTCGATGTTCTCTCTCATCGATGTTTTTTTGCTTTGTTTTTTTTAATCCTCACCCGAGGACATTTTTTCATTTTTTTGTTCAGAGTGGGAGGGAAAGAGAGGAAGAGAGAGAGAAACATCGATGTAAAAGGTACACATTGAGTGGCTGCCACCCACATGACCCTGGGCATGACCCAACCAGGGCAGGGGACAAACTGCAACCGAGACATGTGCCCTTAGCAGGAACCAAACGCGGGTCTCTCTGGACTGCAGGCTGATGCTCTAACTGCTGAGCCAAACCGATCAGGGCTCTCATCGATGTTTCTATCTCCATCTCTCTCTCTCTCTTCCTTCCTCTCTCTCTAAAAATATCAATAAAGAAAAAAATTTAAAAAAAGTAAGCCAGAGAAAGACAAATACCATATGCTCTCACTTATATGTGGAATCTAATAAACAAAATAAACTGATGAACAAAATAGAAACATGGAGCAGACTGACGGCTTTCAGAGGGGAGGAGGAAGGGAGGACTGGATGAAAGAAGGAGAAGGGATTAACTAAAGAATATGTATACCAACCCATAGACACAGACAACAGTGTGGTGATGGCCAGAGGGAAGGGGGGCAGGTGGGGACTAGGTGGAGGTAGGCAAAGGGGGGGGGCAGAATGGGAACATCTGTAATAGTGTGAACAATAAAAATAAAGAAAAAATATTTTAAGAAAAGTAGATGATAGAAGGTACCATTTTCTAGCAAGGGAGAAAATTTATGGAAATCTTATCCTTTGGAAGCAATATGGAGCAAGAAGCAATTTGAAGCTTACAGACAGTGTGTGCCTGGAGGAAGCTTCCTGGAGTGACACCGTCTAGTTTGGGCTTCCTTGGTAGGATCACTTTGTAAATAAAACAAGCAGCACAACTTTGAATTATTGTGAGGTTTGGGAGCAAATGTGCCTTAAGAGCTGATAAAGGCTAATTCTCCTTGTTGCCACTTACTGCTGATCATTATACAGCGTTTATACCACTAATTGAGTTCAATTGGGCTAGAAGCGCTCCAGAAACCAAAGTCCTGTGAAACAACTAACTCTAAGATTTATCTGGGCTTCCCTAACATCAGCGTCATGCATTTACACTCACTTTTTCTTCCCCTTGCTTTCTTTCAGAGGACTGCGTTCAAAAATAGTCATTCCTTTCTGTTTTTGATTTTTTTTTTCAAGAATAAATGAACAAAGGTAAAAAAGGAGAAACTTATTCTTTTCAGAATTGTCCGATTAACAAGTTGGTTGATGAATTGGTATTTTGAGTTTGCAGATTTTGTCAAAGAAAAAAGAGAAATTAAAAATATTACAAAAAGAAAAAAAGAAAACCTGGAAACTCCTGCCTTGAAAGGGAGAAACAGAGGAGAGAAAAGCGAAGAGGAGGCTCCCAGCATTTCGGAACTGGGAGGGACTAGTTGGGACTCAGTATTACTGATGAGGAAGTGGAAGGGTGACGTGTCCTCAAGTTTCATTCAAAACACACGGTTATAGCTATTTTGAGAGTTGGACCAGAGCCCCAGGGGTTGCTATGGCAAGTTGCAGGCGAGAACTAACACTTTCGGAAGGCATTTCGTTACAAAAACGGTCAACAAATTAGGGTAAACTAAGTTCACTCCGATCAATACATCGAATTAGTCATATGTCAGACCCGGTGGATCCGAGTTGCTAACCAACTGGCTGGCTCCTCACTAACAGCAGCTTTCTGTAGAGCCCACTGACCGAGAACTTATTAACAAAGGTCCGCTACTCTCCCCGCAGGACCGGAAAGCTCAGGGCGGCGCGCGATGAATGGAAACCCGAGTGTGGTGCTCCGGACGGGGGGCGGAGCCGCTGAGGGGAGGGGGCGGGGCAGGGCATTGTGAACACTGCCTTCTCCGCGAGGCGGGCCGCGTGGAGAGAACTCTTGGCGTGATTGGGCTCTCGTAACCAGGTGACCTCAGAGTGCATTCCGGTTGGCTGGTGCCCGCCAGGACAACGGCCTTCAGTTGAGAGGCGGTTGCGGGAGGAGGAGGAGCTTCGGCTGCGCTCTCTGCTCGCAGTGGTTGTAGTTTTCAACGCTTGTCTGGTCCCCACCCCTTTTAAATAAGTCGGGCTGGGCGCAGCCCTCACAGACTAGGCAACTCGGGGGAGGCGGTAGCAGCGCGGCGGCGGGGGGTGCGGCCGGGCCCGGAGCCCTGCCCGGGGCCCGGCGGCCCTGCGGCGGGGCGAACAGCGGGCGAGGCCGAGCCTGCTTGTGCGGCGCAGCCCCGGGGCTGCCCGTGCCGGCCGCGCCATTGTTGGGGGAGGGGGGGCTGCTGAGCTCGGCGGAGTCGGGGGTCGGAAGAAGGCGGCCACAGCGGCGTGGAGTGTAGGCTCCCCATGGGGAACACGTTGACCTGTTGCGTGAAGCCCAGTGCCAGCCCCAAGCTGGGCCGGCGCTCGGGGCCGGCAGAGCCGGACTACGAGTCTGAGGTCTATGAGGCGGCGGCTGGGGACGCGGTGGCAGTAGCGCCGTCGCCGGCTGCTCTGGAGCCCGCGGAGTTGGATTTCGGAACCGGCGAGGGCCACCACCTGCAGCACATCAGCGACCGGGAGATGCCGGACGGTAAGGAGGCGGCAGGCGGCGGGTGCTCTCGGGCTTACCCCTGGCCTCCGCCGCCCCCAGGGTCCCCCGGGAGAGAGCCACCGCCTCGGGCTCCTTCCTGCCCGGAGCCGGCTTTCCCAGGGCTGGGCACCGGGGGTGGGGGTGGGGGGAGGCTGGCTCTGCCTGGCATCCCCACCCCTTATTCTTTCCCCGTCCTGTCTGGCCCGCTTCTTTCTCTCTTCACTACCAAACACCCAGTTTTTCCCCCCCTATTCCCATTCATCAACCCAGCCTGAGCCCCTCCAATCCCCCTCCCTGCCTGTTTATGGCTTTTTAACGTCTGGTGGGACTATAAAGATTTTTGGGTATATTTTCTCTCTCTGCTCAGTGAAAACTTTAATACCCCAACTTCGGAGTCTTCATCCGATCTCCCTATCTTTACCTATCCAGGTGGTGCCCAAGTGAAGGCATCAGCTGAGGGCCTGGTGTTACCCTTGCCTCCCACCCTTAGGTAGCAGATACTGGGGACAATTCCGACGCAAACATATTAGGGTTTGTTATTTAAATGCAAAATAGAGACTGGCATAGGAGAGTCTATGCGGTATTCTTAAGTAGGCAGTTTGCAGTTGGATAGAAGCTGCTTTATTCCTTCCAACTAGAATTTGAACACAGAAGGAAAGATAATGTGGGAGAGGGAACTTAAAATAACTGAACGATGTGAAATGTTACTGCCAGCGCTCAGAGAATAAGGTCTTCCCTCCAAAGGAGAACCCACAGAGTCTGATTACTTTAAAATTCCCTCTTTGCCCTGGCCCGTTTGGCTCAGCGGTTAGAGCGTCCGCCCCGCGACCAATGAGTCGAGGGTTCTATTCCGGTCAAGGGCACCTACCTCGGTTATGGTTCCTCCCTGGCCCCGGGTGGGGCCCTGCGGGAGGCGTCCAGTCGGGGTGGCGCTCTCACATCTCACACCCATGTCTCTCTCCCTCCCTCTCTTTCCCTCCTACTGTATCTGATGATAAATAGGAAAATACCCTCGGGTAAGGATTTAAAAAATTAAAAAATAAAGGAGAGGTGGGGCGGATCATGAAACTGTTGGTCAAACATTTTCAAAAGAGAAAAAACAAAAATAAATTTAGACTTCAATTTGTAATATAAAGGTTTGGGAGGTAAGAAGCCAGATCCCACACGAGAATGTTTGAATGTTTGTCTCCACAGCTCCTTCTGCTTCATTTCCCCTCCTGCCCACTGAATCCTGTTCAACTTGAATGTTGTAAATCCCAACAGCTGGATGGGATGGAGAGAGGGTAGTTTTTTTTTTGGGGGGGGGATGTTTGATTAAAAATAATTCTGGGTGCCCTGGCCGGTTTGTTAAGTGGTTAGAGCATCAACCTGCAGACCAAAAGTTTCAGGTTCTATTCTGGTCAAGGGCATGTACTTCAGTTGGAGTTCTGTCCCTGCACTGGTCGGGTCATGTGAGAGGCAACCCATCAATGTGTCTCTCTCACATTATGTTTCTCTCTCTCTCTCTCTCCCCCTCCCATTCTGTCTGAAGATAAATGGAAAAATATCTTCAGGTGAGGGTTAAATAAATTAAATTAAATTAAAAAATAATTCTGGGTAGCAACCTGGTTAATTAATGAAGATTGTTCTTTGAAGTAGAGAACAATGTATCATAAAGATGTTAAAGGTCCATATATTTCATTTATTTATTTATCCACACCTGAGGACATTTTTACATTTATCTTCAGATAGAGCGGGAGGTAGAGAGCGGGGAAGAGAGAGAGAGAAACATCTATGTGAGAGAGAGACATAGATTGGTTGCCACCCACATGACCCCAACTGGGATGGGGACAAACTGCAACCAAGGTTCGTGCCCTTAGTGGAAGCTCAACCTGGGACTCTCTGGTCTGCAGACTGAGTAAAACCGGCCAGGGCCCATGTATTTCATTTAAATACCAGAGATTATTTTGTTATTTCATACAGAAAATGTCTAATAGTTCTTACTCTATTTAAACTTTAGTTGAACTCTTAATTTCTTTAAAAGTTAGAATAATTAAGCCTGTGGATTCACCCAGATAGTGGACATGGCTTTGTAACTGGGAAGTGTACTCCCTTTTCAGAATATTCAAATATTGTGAAAAAAAGGAACAAATTCTGTGAATTGTACCTTTAAACACAAAGTAAGTAAGTACTTGTGAAAATTTATGCTATAAGGTGCTGAAGGCAAGCTTCTGAGTGATTTTATAAACCAGTTAGTAGATGGGTAGTGTTGGATGAGAGACCAAAATAGAATACTTATATATTCTTTTAATATTTATGATACATTTTAATGTTTTGGCCCCTCTAACTACAAGTAAGGCCCATGTACATATCCTCCCTATATTGCCAATGAAGAAACCGAGACTTAGAGATCTAAAATACTATGTAACACAGCTACTGAACAGAAAAGGCTGACATGGAGGTGATAGATATGCCAAATTCAGTTCTTGTGGTACTTAACAACCTCTTTAGAATGCAGCTTGTATTTTATAATTTCTCCATAAAATGGGCCTATCTTAATTTATTCCAGTCTTTTTAAAAATTTTTTTTTTTATCCTCACCCGAGGATATTTTTCCATTTTTTGTACAGATAGAGTGGGAGGGAGAGAGAGGAAGGGAGACGGAGAGAGAGAAACATCGACGTGAAGGGACACATTGAGTGGCTGCCACCCGCACGACCAACCAGGGCCTGGGACAAACTGCAACCGAAGTTCGTGCCCTTAGCGGGAACCGAACCCGGGTCTCTCCGGACCGCCGGCCGACGCTCTAACCGCTGAGCCAAACTGGCCAGGGCAAAACATGTTTTGTTTTGTTTTTATCCTCACCGGAGGACATTTTTCTATTTTTTGTTCAGGTAGAGTGGGAGGGAGAGAGAGGAACAGAGAGAGAGAGAGAGAAACATTGATGTGAAAGGAACACATCGAGTGGCTGCCACCCGCACAACCGACCAGGGCTGGGGACAAACTGCAACCGAGGTACGTGCCCTTAGCGGGAACCGAACCCGGGACTCTCAGGACTGCAGGCCGACGCTCCAACCGCTGAGCCAAACCGGCCAGGGCTCCAGTCTTGATTATTTCCATAAAAATTATTGTGCACAACACTTACCTCTCCATCCTGTATTTCTTTTTTTTTTCTTTTAATTTATTGATTAGAGAGAAAGAGGAAGGGAGAGAGAGATTGAGTTGTTGTTCCATTTATTTATGCATTCATTGGTTGATTCTTGTATGTGCCCCAACCAGAGATCAAACCCACAACCTTGATGTATTGGGATAACGCTCTAACCAACTCAGCAACCTGGCCAGGGCTCCATACTATATTTCTAAATTCCTTACGATGAATAAAAGTAGAAGTCATGAAATAGCATGAATTTATCAGGTAAACAAGTTGATATATTTTAAAGAGCTTGTTCTGTTGATTTCAAATTGAAGCTGAGAGTGCTCTGGACAGGGACTTTTGGAGAAGCTGGTAAGAGGGCAGGTAAGGTTAACAAGGGTTAAGTATAGGACTATGATCAGGAGTGTTAAATCCGAATAGTTGAAAAAATAGAGTTTGTGAGTACAGAATTTACCTGTTTATGTTTAACATGATAATTAAAATTTCATTTCAATTTGTTTTTAAGGTTTTTTTTTGGATTCAATAAAATGAAACCTCAATTTCACCATTTGCTATTATTATTTTAAAATATGTTTTTATTGATTCTTTTAGAGAAAGAAGAAGTGAGAGAGAAAAATATCAATGTGAGAGAGAAACATCAGTCGGCTGCTTCCTGCACGCCCTGCTACTCCGAATTGAACCTGGGACCTCTTGGTCCATGGGATGACGCCCAATCCACTGAGCCACATTACTATAAAGTTTCCATAGAAGCAAGGGCGAAACACCAAATATAAAATGCAAGCACATTGAAAGTTTGATTTTACTGTCTATTTCAGACAATTTTATATCAGTTTCCCTGAACACTAAGAAATACCTATTTAGATGTAAAACATTTTGGCTTTTCTACAGTGGAGAATTGAATTATTTGGTTACTTAAACATAATCAAACATGAATGATGCTCTGAAACACAAGAACATGATTTCTTCAAGCCATTTCAAAGAGATATTCCAAGAACATAGCATAGATTTCAGATAGACATAAAATAATTTTTCTACAACCTTACCTTTAGCTAACAGTATAACATACTAATGGTAGTATCAGTAACACAAAAACACTGAAGTTCTGTTATCCAAATTTTTTATTACTCATCAACTTGTCTTCCTGTTCATCACTGCTTCCATTGGCCCCAAGACTCTACCAGATTGGGACAGTGATTCTAGGGCTTCTTCTGGGATTGGTCAGGGAAATGGTCAGTGGGAGAGGCTCCTCTAGAACTAGGAATGTGGTTCTGAATTGGCCTAGAAATGAAGCTAGGCCTTGCAGCTCCCTTAATGTTTTCTTTTTTCTTCTCCACTGCTTTTTACTTGTTTGGGGGCCCCTTTTGGGTTTTTTTGAGGGGGGGTTGACTGGATTCCTGCTTTCTGGGGCCTGATTGCTGGCTAAAGGTGCTCTTTCAGGTAACCCTTTTACCCCCCCACCCCTCCAAAGGAGTGAGTAGGGAAAGGATTGGCAATATTATGTGAAAAAACCTCTAAGCAACATATCTTTCCTCTTTTCAGTAGCTATTTTAAACCCTCTTTCTTTGCTTCTCTTTTCTTTCTTTCTTTTTTGGTGACAGTATTAATAAGCATTTGATGTAAAAGATTTAGAAAATCCAGAAAAGTCATTCGCTTATGCTCAGAATATGCAGAACTTTTATTAATATTTTGGTGTTGATACTCCTTTTTATTTTTATTATTATTTTTTTATCCTCACCCGAGGACATTTTTGCATTTATCTTTAGATAGAGTGGGAGGAAGAGAGAGAAACATCGATGTGAGAGAGACACATTGACTGGTTGCTCCCTGCACGACCCCAACTGGGGCTGGGGACAAACTGCAACCAAGGT